CGGGCTCGCGCGTCAGAGCAGGGAGCAGAAACTTTGCCTTTTATTGTTGCCTGTAGCCCTTAAGTGCAAGGAACTCTGTGTCGGAAGGAAAAATGTCCTTCTTCAATTTCCGTAAGATCTTCAAGTTGGGGAGCGAGAAGAAGAAGAAGCAGTACGAACATGTGAAGAGGGACCTGAACCCCGAGGAGTTTTGGGAAATTATAGGAGAATTGGGCGACGGAGCTTTTGGAAAAGTGTACAAGGTAAGAGGGAGAAAACGGGAAGTTGTGCTTGGAAAGATAAAACGGCCCTGGCCCGGAGTGGCACTGGGACTTCTCGCGCCCGTGTCCCCCTCCCGCCTCCTGCCCCTTCTTTTGACTTCGTGATGTTGCGTTGGAACTTTATTTCGCTTATCACCCAGGAGTGGTTTAGACAGTAGGGTTTACGGCTGAACAAAATGGGGCCTGGGTGTCGTTTGAAGAGCGATTGCTAAAGGGAGGCAGGGTTATTATACAATCTCCTCTGTCCAACTTCAAAGGAAATGAGAAGTGTTCTTTAATTTATTGGAGGGAACTGGTGTGGCTCTCAAGTGCTTTAAAATCAGAAAGTCATTACACTTTTCAGTGGATTAACTGCATTCACATGCATGCTTGAACTAAAACAGTTTTCTTTTTGGGGTCCAGGACATTTATTTATTGGTTGTACCTATAGATCATGTATATAACTGGTCTTCTGGGATTCGAGCAAAGCTGGCTACTTGCAGCCTGTTCTTGAGTGGGTTGCTTAACAACATACTATAAAATGACATAGAATTTCTGTTAGAAGATTTCCAGAAGAAAACTTGCATCTGGTACTAGTTTCTAAATATAGCCAGCATTGACTAGAAGTCAGTACCAGCGCTTAACAACACACACACTCTCTCTCTCACACACAGGTATTTCAATAGGACGAGATTTGGTGTTTCAACCTGAAGGCATTAATGTTAACTATTTATTATCTCCGAAGGAGCACATGAGTGATGTCATTGGAGTATTTTCATCCTGAAGGGTGAGGTTTTTATGAGACACAGTTCAGGGGAAGGACCCACAGGGTTGCCTGGAAGTGAAAACATAAATAATATTACATGGGGTTTTTCAGTTTTTAAGCACTTTCACATAATTTAGCCTTCATAAAAATCCTGTAAGGTAGGCAAGTTAATAGTAGTATCCACATTTCCCAGATAGGGACACTAAGACTCAGAAATGGTTCATATCACGCAAGTCAAGCTCTAGACTTGAACTCAGGTCTACTGACCCCACATTTAGTACTGTTTTTTACTTTAACAATCATTGGTAGAAAGGATGGCGTTGTTTCCTACTTTCTAAGCTCCATTACAGTTATGCCTTTGCCCTTCCCGGGGCCCAAATTATGGTATACATTAGAGTTTATCCATTGTTTTAGCACATAGTGCACTGTCTCTGTATTTGTTGAAATGAAAGAATGTACGCTATACACATATGAATACTAATGAAGCTATCCTATGTCATGAAAGTTGGCAGGGTAAAACTTCAGCATTTGTATTTGGGTTTCAGCCTGAGTTTATAATCTAAGATGCAAGGTAGGAAGGGCTTTTAATGCAGTGGGAAGATCACTCCTGGGAATTGTGTTTAGTGCTCACTGTCACAAACTGGCCTTGTGATTTTAGACAAAACACTTCCTTGGACCTCTGTTTTCTAGCTGTAAAATCATAGATTTCTCTATAAACATTTGCTTAGATTCCTTCACTTATTAATGCTCTGTGAGTATAGTTAGCTAGGAAATGCAAAAATAAATTAAGGCATTTGGACTCTTGTTAAAAGGCAGTAGATTTTCATGGGGAAAATTAGGTTGTTTTATTGAATATGAAGTGTGGTATAAAGAGCATTGGCTGGAGTGGGGGCTGTGTCAGGGCTCTCTCATAGCAGCATGTGACCTTGGGCAAGTTACTTACTTGTTCTGTTGCCTGACTTTTCTCATCAGAAAGGCCTGCTCTTCAGTATGTGAGGAGTAAACGAGATGATAAATACATAGCACATAGAAGGCTCAGTGAATAGTATAGTAGAAATTACTGTTATTACACTTAAATCTTACAGAAGCAAAATCTGGGGTAGGAAAAGGGAGTAAGAAGGTAGTCAACCATTTTCTTGGTTTCCAGTGGCATAATGGTTATGTTGCTAGCATAATGGCATAGGCAGATTGGGTGGAATACTAAGGCTCTGTGGTTTAATTCTACAGTGACTCTACAAAGTGCAAAGAATCTTCCTACCGTGAGACATCAGTTAAAAAATTTCAAAAAGTAAGTGAATTTCTGAAAAGTAAATTCATCATGTGGTGAACACCAAAAAAATGGTGTCAAGAATTTTTTTTCTTTTTTGAGAGGTTTTTGCTATAGGGTGTGTGCACTCGCTGGAAAGAGAGAGAAAGAGATAGGGAGACAGAAAGCGAGAAATCACCTCCCAGGGGGATGGCCACACCGCAATCCCTTCTCTTCCATTCTCCTCTCAGGATCTTGGGCATGCACGCATATGCACACTACGTGAGTTTAAACCACTGGGTCTGGGACTCGAACCACGGTCAACTACACGGGAATCCAGTGATATAGTCATTATGCTAACTGCTGGTCCCAAGAATTTTTTTTTTGGTGGACTTCTTGACTTTTTATTAAGCGAATTATTTTTTTTCCTATAGGGTGAGTGCACTGGCTGGAGAGACAGAGAGAGATAGAGAAACAGAAAGCAAGACATCACCCATGTGGAGGGGAGAGGGCTACACTGTAATCCCTTCTTCTTCATTCCGTCCGGGTTTTGGGCCCACATATACCTGTGCCTGGAGTGAGTTTTAAGCTGTCTAGTCTGGGACTTGAACCATGGTTGATACATAGGAGTCCAGCGACATAATATTACACCGTCTGTTGGTCCCCAGATGAGTTTAAAACAGTTTTTTTTAATTAGATTTTTTGCTATAGGGTGAGTGCACTTGCAGGAGAGATAGAGACCGAGAGATAGAAAGCTAGAAATCACCCCCTCAACCCCTCTAGAGGATGGCCATGCTGCAATCCCTTCTCTTCCATTCTTCTCTCAGGATTTTGGGCATGCTTACGCATTCACCTGGCCCTCATGGACCTGGCATGAGTTTTAAGCTTCTAGGTCCGGGACTTGAACTGCAATTGACTATGTGGGGATCCAGTGATGTAACCATTATGCCATCTGCTGGTCCCGGTGACTGTGTTTTAATATGATAATTTTAAGGGTATGGGTTCTTTGTATCTTTTTCATGTCACTATATGCTTCTAAGGAATAGGGTATGACATTTTTATTAAAGAAAAATTTAAACTTGTTTGAACATTTTGGGACTCTTTCCTGAAAGCTTCTATTTTTTTTTTTTCTTTTTTCTTGGAGAGATTTGCTATAGGGCGCATGCGCTTGCCAGACAGACAGAGAGAGACAGAGAGACAGAAAGCGAGAAATCACCCCCCAGGGGGGATGGCCACACTGCAGTCCCTTCTCATCCATTCTCCTCTTGGGGTCTTGGACACACACACGTGCCCGGCGTGAGTTTAAGCCACCGGGTCTGGGACTTGAACCGTGGTCGACTACATGGGAGTCCAGTGACATATCATTACGCTAACTGCTGGTCCCGAAAGCTTCTATTTTTCAAGAGTCTTTAGAAATTATAAAATTTTAAGCTTTCTTCTATAAGGGGGAGAAAACTTAATCAAATTCTAACATTGTGCATAGTAAGTAGTATGCAGTAGAAAACTATTTCCAAACTTGATTCTAACTATCCTTTGCTATGGAAATTGGTAACTGTTACAAAGAGTAAGTTGCACAGTAATCAGATTGTATATTTAGTTTATTTGATTTATTTTTCCCTCATAGAATTGTATTTTTTCTACTCAGTCCATCATTATACAACCCTAAGAAAGTTTCTTATTTTCATGAAAAAAAATCTTTTTTCCATTATTTTAAATTTATTTTCTATTTTAAATATATTATTATTGGGCATATAAATGAAGATAATGTAATATCCTTCACTATTTTTTATCTTTGGATTTCCACTTTTAAAAAAAATTTCATTTAACTTTATTTATTTTTAATTTGACCAGAGATGAGGTGGGCAGGGAGAAAGTGAGAAAGCAAGCCACCAGGTCCAGGACTCGAACCACTGTTGGCCATGTGGGAGTCCAGCACCCTTTAACCCATGCCACCGGTGGCCTCTGGATTTCTACTTTTTTTAAAACCACCCCCTTTTTTGGAGAGGTTTTTGCTATAGGGCATGTGTGCTTACCAGAAAGACAGAGAAAGGGAGAAATCACCCCCCCAGGGGGGATGGCCATGCCACAATACCTTCTCCTCCATTCTCCTCTTGGGATCTTGTGCATGCACGCACAGGCACTTGGCATGAGTTTAAACCACCAGATCTGGGTCTCAAACCACTGCCGACTACCTGGGAGTTCAGTGATGTAGCCATTACGCTAACTGCTGGTCCTGATTTCTATTGTTTTTCTTTTTTTTTTTTTCTGGAGAGATTTTTGCTATAGGGCACGTGCGCTCGCCAGACAGAGAGAGACATAGAGACAGAAAGTGAGAAATCACCCCGCAGGGGGGATGGCCACACCGCAATCCCTTCTCCATTCTCTTGGGATCTTGGGCACGCATGCACACGCGCCTGGCGTGAGTTTAAGCCACGGGTCCAGACTTGAACCGTGGTCTACTATGTGGGAGTCCAGAGACATAGCCATTACGCTAACTGCTGGTCCCTGATTTCTACTGTTTTTAACAGAAAAAATTATGTATTGCATTTCTAGAAATCTAGTTTGTCTATTAAATCAGTTGAAGCTGAACTCATGGATGAAAGTGATCTTATGACAGCTGAAGGGCTTGTGTATTTTTTAAATTAATGAAATATGTAATTTTTGTGTTGAAAAGCAAAGAAACATACATGTATATTTAACACATAATGAGGTGAATTCATTTTAACAACCATCAGGATTAAAGATTTCTCTTACCATTCCAGAATCCTTCCTGCCTTCTTTCTCATTCTGATCGCCTCTCTTTCTGAAGGAAACCACTATTCTTTCTTTTAAGTTATTCATTTGTTTATTTTTCTTTAGTTTACCTCTAGGTGTGTGACCCTACACATTATAGATTTAGATTTGTGTGGACCTGACCTTTGTGTGAATGGAGTCACATTGAGTGTATTCTTTTGTGTCTTCTTTCAAAATCAGCACGATGTTTGTGAGGTT